AGTTTGAGCAAATAATTTTTGTTTAATCGACCCTATTTATGTTTTTATTGTTCCGACTTGCAAAGAGTGGTTTTTTCTCCAGATCAATTTCGACATTTCAACTAGTCATTCCTGAACAGTTTTTATGAAGCATCTAAAAGCCAGTGATATCCTACGCTCAAAGTGACAAAAAGTAAATATTTTACCTGTGATTGTTTTTTGAAAAGTTATTGGGGTCTGAAGTTTGCCAATTTGGCTATATGGGACACTTAACGCCCGAAATATTTCGTGCTCTAAACGCGTAGGCGGCTATTTAATCCACATAAAAATTGCTTCAAACTCAATTGAGGCAAGATAATCTTTTTACACTTGTCATAGCGTGTGGGTGGAAGTAATTGAAAAACAAAAACCCAAAAAAAATCAATTTTTTTTTTCAAAACTATTATAACTGTTTTTAATTAATAACTACAGAAACTATTTCGGAGACAATGAAGGGCAATCGAAGCAATCGGGGCTTAACCCTGATACCAGTAGTCTCTTTTGTGAATTAAATCAGCAGGGCAGCAAAAGCCAATTCCCTTCTAGAATCAAGTACTGTACTGCCTTTGCTGTATTGACTTTTGCATGAGTCAGAAAAAAACCCAAATAGTAGTCAACGCAGTTTTTCATTATTCATCAATTGCTTTCTAAGCACAAACAGTAAGAAAACATGTAGGCGTCGAAAACATTTGAATAAAAAATTTTGATAGATTGTTTAAATTGGTATTCTACTCAAAGCAAAGAGAGACATTGTTCTCAAACCGATTTCACAGGAGCATTTTCTAAGAGCTTGCTAATTAAGACCAAAAAAAACGTAATTGGCGTAAATTGAACAGTATAATCACTAAAAGCTTTCAAAATGGATTTACAGCAGGATCAAATTAAGTGCGGCATTTGTGAGAAGCCAAATTGGCCATTAAGTAAACATAATTCACTTTCGTCAATAGAAACGAAAAAAGAGCGTCAAGCAAAAAAAAAAGAAAAAAAAAACTATAATGTCTGTAAATCAGCAATGCAACCTCCCGGCTTCATAAAAAGAACAATTAGCGTTGTAATCAAAATAGCTATAGCAATAGATATTTTTTGAATAACCTACTCATCGTCAAGAGATGTTGCTTATACAGTGCTGGCTTAAATTATACAGACGAAACGCATATAACTCGAAATTTAAAGCCTTTTCCTCAATTTGGGTTAATTTTGGGTTAAAATAATGAGAACAAATATAGCTCGAAATTTTAAGTGGTGCAATTCGAATTGCGAAATTCTCCCCCAAAATAATTGCGAAATTCTCCCGCTTTTTGGCTTTTTAGTCGATTACAAATTACGCTACCACTACCAAGTCATTATCTACTACATTCTAGCCCAAGAAAGTTAAAAAGGTTATGATCTTCATGAGTTGTAATAATTCATATTTTTGTTTGATAGACAAAAAACCTCATTTTAATTTTTTTTAAATTGAAATCAAAGTTAAAACATTTTGCGCAATTTTAGGAAATTATGCTTTTCTTGAATTTTGTTGAGGTTCATAAGAAACTGATTTTACCATCATTCTGTTAGTTATTAAAACGGTAATTTTCGATTTACTAAAAAGCCAGAAGGAATTCATTTTTATAGTGAAGTTTTGGGCCTAATTTTTGCAAAAACCTTGAACCATAATGAGTTTGCTAAAATTTTTAGCCAATTCTGCTAGCATCAATTTACCCAAAATCAAACCAATTTGAGGCAAAGTTGTTTTTAATTTCAAGTTTTTTTTATTTTTTCTTCCGTATAATTTAAGTCAGCACTGCATAACACAATCATCAGTTTTTTTTTTCAAAATTTTCGAAAAACAACTTTGAAACAAAAAATAAGTTTTTCAGACAAGCAATTGTCATTGAGCAGTCTAAAACGTTTTTTTACGCACGGAAGAAATAAATAAGGATGAACTAAGTACAAAAAGGATACAGGACAAAAGTAAATTGAATTTTTTATAAGCTACATGGTGTTATTAATCACTTTCTAGGCGCTAATATGATAATTTTGGTTTTGGCATAATCTGCGGCGGAAGTCTTCGAAAACATTTCTTTTTTGAAAAAATGAAATTTCTTTCAAAAACTTTTGGTGTTTCCAAAAAGGCAGTCGGAAGAAAAATCAGGACTTCGTCCTGATGCGAATAGTTTTTTGGTAGTGGTTGATTTCAAACTCAGTCACCCAAGATAACAATATTTGCGAGGTCGAAACTAACTTCAACTCTCAAGGAACAACAGTTTTATTAGGTGGGCAAAACAAAGAAACAGCTCCAGCACTCAACCAAAAACATGTCAAAGTCACTCAATTATAAAGAGATCTTAAAATTTCCTGCACTGATAAATTAAAAACTCCACTGAGAAATATGCAGTAAGTTTTCCATAAAATGCAAAAAAAATGTTCGAAGTAGTACGGTTTTTTAGTTATTGTGCAACTAAAATAAATTAACGACAAAACAGGCTTAATCTAGTCTTATGGTGCTCACTCGAGTGACGTTTTTGTATAAGATTTTCCAATTTGTAATTCCGCTCTTGTAATGACTTCTCTTGGAAACATTTTTTTTAATCTTAAAAAACTACCTTGCATAGATAAACAGAACTGGTTTTTGCATAGATAAACAGAACGTGTAAGCATCCGATGTGCCAAACATCCAAAAAATCAAAAAAAAAATGTTACACATGCAAAAAACAGCTTTTTTCAAAAAATAGTGCAAAGATACAGTTTGTTTCGTTCGCTTAAAAATGCTACAGTTGTCAAATGAAGGCGGATCGACGCGTTCGCGCCATCGTGTTGCAAACTGGCCAACAGTGATTAGAAGTCGATATGAAAATAAGAGCTGGTTATCGCCCTGAAGTGGGGACGCGCACATAGCGCGCCCACAGGCAAACTTAAACCGAGAGTCGACTAAATTGAAATCTTATAATTGAATAATGTCTTGTTTTTGAAACTCTTCTGTCATATTTTTGTATAATTGATACATAAGTTCGGATGTTTGATATATTGGATTTTTGCCCCAGACCTAAAATTTATTTGGGATTTGTCTACAATCAGCTTTGAAAATACGCCAGCTCAAGCTGTTTCATCAATTTGAGTGTAGTCTTTTCGTTAAGACGAGAAAGTTAAGTGAAAAAAATATTTTCAGTGGTTTTTAAGATGAAGTTTGGAACTGTTAGTTTTTATCTTTGATCAAAAAAAATTGCAAAACAAAATTAATTTCTCGTTCAATCAAATTTATCGAGTTTCTTTGAATGTATTTTTTTAAAGAACAAAATTGTAGAAGATTTTCGTTAACCAATTAATCAGAAAATAGTGCTCAGATGTTAAAAAATCAACCCTTTAAGTCTTCCAAACTTTTTTTTCGAATTATTCAAAAGTCAATGTTGTAATTTCTAAATCACTAGTTGGTTGTTGGCACTTGCTTAAGATGATAATATATAGATGTTTTCGGGAAAATTCGGAGCAGGGTGATGTGAAATGTCTCAAACTGTGAAAGGAAGCTTTTTGGGAAGAAACGCTGAAACTTTTTCAATTAGACATTTAAGAATCAATCGAGCAGCGCCGCCTTGCTGATTGAATGATTGAAATAATCCTACTTAAGCACGAAAAGTTATCCTGCAAATCTTGTAAGATTTTTGCAAATGAGGGTTATCTTGCAAGAAGAACTACTTTAAAAAAATTTTACGAAAAAATACTTGGAGCGCAAGAAAAACACTTATAGAGATCCAATTCGATTACGGTCCCAAAGAGTTTGAGTTAGGGTTCGGATAAAAAAAATTAGGTTGACCATGTTTTAGAGTTGTTCATTTATATGCTTATTTTCCCGCTTTCGTAATAAGTAAAAGTATCAGGTTGTAGTTATAGTTCATGCATTACGAATTAGGGTTTCCGAAAACACAGTTTGATGTTTTTTTTTGAATTTTTCATCTAGCTTTGCAACTTTAGTAGTTGAAACTTAATTTGTTGTTGTTTATGACAATTGTTCGAGTATTGAATGATCATTTCCCTTATCGATCAAGGCAGGCTATCTCGCAAGATCTTGCAAAACCAAGCAAGATTCATGCAAAAATCATGCAAAATCATGTATATTGTTAATGAGTCAATTAGCTCGAGATATTTTGAATGTTGTGTTTGCATATATTTACGATACTTTGTCATGTTCATATATTATGCGGTAATATTTTTCTTTTGGTATTTTCTGCTGATTTGTTTATGTATGTAAATGTTGCCACTACACTTCCTTTACAAACGCTGTAGGTTGTCTTAGCGTTTAAAGCTGTTTTTTTTTCTCACGAAAAATCATATCTTTAAAGATACTGCTTTAAAAATTTGACTTCAAAGGAGGTTATCTAGCAAGATCTTGCAAGAATCTTGCAACGTTCTTAAAGAGATGCATCGTCTTTAGAAGAATCTAGCATGATTTGCAAGATCTTGCAAGATAGCCTCCCTTGATCGATTAGGGAAACGATGTTCAATCTATGCTCTAAGAGCTCAACCAATCAACCTGTTTTCAATACATTTTTGAATTTTTTTTGCAAGGTTTGCAAGTTGAGTATTCACTTGTCATATAAATGTAGATAGGACTAAAAACTGGATGTAAATCAAATGATAGAAAACGATAAATATTCGTTATGGATTTTAACAATTTTTGAAGCCTGAACGAAGTCTTTTTGCTCCAATTTGGCGGGACTGAGATCCGAGATGCTATTTATTTAGAATAGCACAGACATATTAGGGTCCTCCTCGTTGTATATTTGATATTGAGAAAAAAAAATCGAGACACAATTTAGAGCTGTGAGAATGATCATCTCAAGTATTATGGGGAGAGAAAAGAAAAGTTGCATGCAACATTTCTGTTCTACTTGCACAGCAACTAGGTACTCAGGTTTGCTTTTGCGTTTCATTTTAATGCTAAAAAAGAATCTTATGAAAAAAACAAGGGATGCACTTTTCTGTGCATTTTTCTGTGCATAACAAACCAATTGTTCTAATTTTGAAATCACACAAAGTGATTCGGGCAAAACGGGATTTGTCGGTCCAGTCTCGTCGGTTGAGAATGTCGCTGAGTACTTCCAGACCATACGAGTGGTATCCAGCACCCAGCCACTCGCCCAGGAAAAACAACTGGCCGAAGATGTTGATAATGTACAAGACTTTGATAAACAAGTAAAGTAAACAAAGATAGTTGCCGTAGCGTTTCGAGATAACGCAGAATATTCTAGAAAGAGTAACGCGCAAATGGCCGAAGAATCCTAAGCCGACGTCTCGCTGACTGTCGAAGTATCGGTCAAAGTGTTTGGCCAGATATTTGACTGTCTTAGTCCACAAGTCTGGATTTAGCACTGATTCGAATGTGGAGGCTGTGTTTACTATTTTGTCGATGTCCAGGCCGGTTGAGATGCAAATGCCCCGCCAGATTGTTCTTGGAAGATAGAAGAAGACGCCTTGCATGGCCAGAAGGATTGGCACCTAAGCAAAAAGTAAAAAAAAAGATAAGGTTTTTTTTTAGGATTTGGACAGAACAAGCAGAGTGATTATATAAAGATATTAATGCTTTCACAAAAAAAAACACAAAAGTTTTTTTAAGAAAAAAAACTAACAAAAGAAAACAATGACAAACCGAATTAAAAACTTTTCAATTTTTCTGTGCTGAAAAATTAATTTTTTTTGCAGTTCTTGATTCTCAAAATGGCGTAGACAAAATCCAAAAAGTAATTGACTTGAGTAAAGCTAAATTAGGTCTAAATAGGCTATCGTAAGCGGCATAAATTAAGCATAAATAAGCTTGATGGCTTGCTTTATCCGCTCAAAATTGGACCAAAAATCAAGAAAATTTTTTTCGACACTGAGAAAGATTTTTCAAAATCACGATTGAAAAGGTTTTAATATAATATATCAGGACCTTTCCGATGTCGTGATTTTGTGGTACCTCATTTGCATGGAAAACCAAAAAATAACTAAAACACACCTTAAATTAAAAAAAGTCTTCTCGATTTTTCAAATGGTCGGAACAAAAAGGATAGCCGGTTGGCGTGCATTTAGAGCACAGAATGTTCCGACAACATTCATGAAAAAGTACAAAAACAAAGTTCTTTGACTTTCTCAGTTCTTCAAATTTGTTTTGTTTGTTATACGTGATGTGATGAAAAACTGTATACACACGTAGATTCTAATAAATTAGGCACAGCGGTAAGAGTTATCTTCAAAAAAAAGAATAACAAACATAAGATGAAGAAAAACAACCAGAAAAAAAAAATTTCACAGAGAATTTTGAAGTTTTTTTGATATCTTTTTTTGCTGGAGAAGCGCAAAATGAAGCTTCCAAAATTCCAAAATAGTTTTCATAAAAATAAGTGTTTTAGCCTCAATGACAAATTTAACAACGTTTCTATCATTATAGTTGTTCACTTTAATGGCTCGTAATTGGTCTGAAATTAAACCAACTTTTCTGGACACAGGAAAATTTTCTTGAAAAATTTTCATTATTGTTCGATTCACTACTGAAAGGGCTTTAATATGATATACCAGTCAACCCATTCCGAAGATTGTTTCTGCTACCTGAATTTGCCAAGAAAAAATTTTACCGCACCCGAGTACATAGTTTTTCTGCGTTTTCAATGTTCGAAATTAACATGTTTTTGATTTTTTCAAATAATTAAGTGAAAGCAGCTGTTTTTTTGTCACAAATGTCCCCTTTGAGATTTCTTGGAGGTAGTCAAATTGTGTTGAAAGAAAACACATACCCCACGCAACGCAATGATTTTCGATCTGGAGCCTAGATTCAAATACGAAATTTCTTTGAACTATCAAAATTACGTGAAAAAGACCCAAACTTTTGGTGGCAAGAAAATGTATTTTTTAAAACCAATTATATCAACTTCCTAGTTGCAATAAGCAATGTTTACATCTAATTAAAACGCAACCTAATAATTTTATTGCTCCAACCATATTATAAAGTGGGACAAAATCATGACCTGAAAAATTTTTTCACCTGTATAAAAGCAGCTCAAAACGCCCTCTAAAAAGATAAAAAGTAATTAAAATTTACAATAAAAATTCAATTCCAAAAAAGCATTGTTGAGAAAAATTAGTCAACAAATTTTACGTTTTCACAATAATTTTCATCACGTGAACGACACTGAATTAAAAGACCTCCTTCCAATTTGTTTGTGCTTTGTTCAAGCAATTGTTATTCTGGGTGCTCGTTTGTTTCCAAGACTGATAACAAAAAAACGGTGGAGAAAAATAGAAAAATAATCTACAACTCATTTTTGAAAAAAAAAATTCTTTTATTTTCGTTTCTCCGTATTCTTTTTAACAGCTCTCTTTGTCGAATCACCTGCACTTTGCATTTGCAATCAAGATTTCTTGGTTTCATTTTAAAACATACAGGCAGAATCAACAAATATTCTGGAACGGGTTTTGAATACGAGATTTTTATGTTTCACAACTAAAAAGAAATTGTTTTTAAATGTTTTATGTAATTGCTGTTTTTATATGAAAGCATTTTAGATGAAATGTTTTAAAGTCCAAAATGATGCTCTATGACATTTTTTTCAATTAATTTATGGGCTAACTCGGCTAATCTGGGATAACTAATTAGCTTGATGTTTATAATGATCTTTTATCGTGTAATTTCTGTTGTGAATTGATCCGCCTCAAACTTTTTTTTAGATTCAATTCGGGCTAGCTAACTGATCCAAATTACGCAATAATAGGCGAAACAACTGTGTTTGAAATTGCGTAGAGGAGACGGTAAACTAGGAAAAACTTGAAAAAACTTGTCTGTTTTTTTTTCCACCGGTAGCTACTTCTGTCAAGTTAAACGTCAGTTGAAATACTCATAAGGAATTTTGTTTTCAGAATATGAAAACAGCGAAAATGCATTCTTTGTTGCGTTTTTTTTGTCCAATACCGACTTTGCAACTATCAGTTTTCACAAAAATTTTCATTAATCTGAAAAATATTAATGATTCAAGTAGTATTTCACCTGATATATTTTTTCGTTAAGTTATGGGGGTTTGAAAAATTTGGATAATTAACGAGCGATAGATTGCGGTCTCTTAATAAGTAAGCGGTGAGCTAATCTAGCAGATAAATCTCTGCAATATGATTGAGGACAGCTATTTGGTCAAATTGATTTGTTAGTATAAACGAAGTCTGTCGCTGTGTTCTTGAAATTGCAAATGGTAGAAGATTTCCAAAAAAAACATAATTTTCCAAAACTTTTATTTCTCATTACAAAAAGCTACTAAAACATGAACACTCAAGGTTTTGCCCTGATACGACCAGTCTTGTTTTCAGTTTTGTATTCATAGCATGTACCAAGAGTTTGAATGATAAAAACTCATTCAGCTAAATACAAGATAAATGCCTCAAATAAGTAGCTTTTAACTGCTGTACGCAAATCGAATCAGTTCCGCAATATTTCGAACACAGACAGTTTAATCAAACCGATTTTGATACTTTCCGTCCAAAAAACACGATTGATCTTGTAGTGATTTGACGATTAAAATAGTTTTAACGAAATATAAGTGAGAAGTAACCCAACTTCAAATGGTATACACAGACAAATGTCAAACAGATGTCAAACTCACTCGGAATTAGCAGGCAGCGAACGCTTGTTTTGCGACGCTTCGCTACACCATTATTCGACATTCGAAGCGAGTAGCAAAATGCACATGAATAAATTTTACCAGCAGTCTTGCTTATTTGAAAGGTCTATGAAATCAAAACCACTGAAATGTCTGTCCAATGGTTTAAATGTCTCGATTTTAAAATCGCCCAAATTTGTAAAACATTTTAGCTGAACGGTCTGAAGAAAGCTTATAAATGTCCGAATGGTCCGCCCAAAAACTAAATTTGCTAGACAAAAAATCATAAAAATGATAGCCGGCTGTTTTTGTGCCTCAGGAAAATTAACCACATTATTGATTGTAAAAAAATGCTTCTTTTTGCGTTTAAAAAAGGACAGCGGCAAGCAAGCATGCTTTGCACATTAGCTTATCTAGCGTTATAAAAACAATAGTTTAGTCATTTACTTGCTTAAATCGCATTGAAATGAAGTTTTAATTTCTTAGTTTATGGTCAGTGAAAAGCAAAAATATTAAGCTCGACTTCAAAAATTTAGACTTTTACAAAATGAATAATATTATGATCATATCTTCAGTCGTGGTTTTCCTCATTTCTTTTGCTTAATTTGCATAATAAAAATGAAAATTAATGGCCGTCGAAACATTTAGGGGCTTCCCCCAAAGACAATCAGTCTTTTTTACATTTAATAACCAGCTCATAGTAAGTTACATCATGGACCAAAAAAATTTCTTCTGCACTAAAAAAAATGAGCAAAAACATTTGATGACGTATGAAAAATATGTAAATACAAAAATACAAAAACAATAAACATATGGCAGTAGCATGCTTGTATTTTTTTGCGCAAATATATGCCTGGTGTTTTGATTTTAAGATCATCAGAAGAGTATTTTGGACTACAAAAGAACTTTTAATCTCCAGGTTTTTTGTCTCCCAATATACTATACGAGGTCAAATAAACTACGAGTATATTTTCAATTGAATAAAATGCAAACAAAGATTTGTGTATTTAATGCGGTCAAAACGGTTTCTGTTCAAACAAAGGGTTGTTTGGCGCTCCTTTTAATGTTTTTCTTTTTTCTTTGACAAGAAAGAGAGACTAAAATCTTAGGCTACGAATGAGAATCCGCTTTTATACTGGCGAATGATTAAATATCGGGTCATGGATGATATCAGATCAAAAAATCAAACAATGATTAGTTTGCTCGAAGTCTTTAAAATTACTAAATAAGGCTGTAATTTAGCAAAATCAATGTATTTTTTTTTCAGAAAATGTCTAAAAATAGTTGAAAAAAGAATATAATTCAGTTTGCCAATGACCTGCAATTTTGATAAACTTTAAGAAAAAAGTCTTCTATGCCGTTATTTTGAACAAGTGAAGTCGTAATATGAAAACAAAAATCCATAATTTTTCAACCTAAATTCAATTTTTTATTTAGAAAAATCTGAATTACTCAAAATTGATGAACCGATAGTTCTTGCCATAGATAGAAAAAAATTTTGGTGACCTTTTTGATGTTGCTTTGCTCATCAAAGAAGCTGCAAATTGTTTCTTCAAAAAAGCATTCAATTACTTTATTTCAGATATCCTATGACAGTTTTGACAGATCAAATATTCATCTATTTTTCTCAGCTTTCGTATCTCGCAGGTTATCGCAGATATCATCTTCAAAAATGTCAAGAGAAATATCATTTCACATTGGCAAATATTGCTGCATACAAGTGTTCCAAAAATCTTGAAATTAAATTTAAAAAAGTTTTTTTTTGCCATTTTTGACTTTTTATGTTCGTATATTGAATAATGTTTTATAATCGTTCCAAACCAATTTGATGTAACCCGGGTTTTTTCTATGTTTTATAACAGAGCCTTATAATTA